ACACGCCCGCTGGGCACAGCCAGGGGTTGCTGCCTCCCCAGACCTTATTGCAGCCCCTGCACCACACACACGCCTTAGCACACACACACTTTCGGCTGCAGTGAGGGGTCACTTCATTCAAACAGCCCCAGAGCTACACAGAGAATAACCTCATTTACTTGCCCCTGAGGAAACGCCGAGCCAGCCTGGCTTGCTGAACCCCCTCCGCTTCTCTCCTGGGCATTTATACAGCGGATTAGCAACACACAGGGTAACTGTAGGCTCCAATTTGCCCAGACAAAACCAGCCTGTAATGTACTGCACAGCTGGGCATCGGGCTTCTTCTGCTTCCCAAACGCACCTAACCACCCAACCCTGGGGCACAAGGGCGTGTGAGGGTCAAAAGTAGGGCGTCACCAACCGGTCTGCAGAGGAAAGGGATACTTTGGAGGTAGGAGTTCATAGACTAGTGTTATAACTGACCTACTAAATGAATGCGGATCTGTCAAACTATAGGCATTGCTGTGAGGTGTGCAAATACTGACCGGTCCTGTAGCAACAAGCCCTTCCCTTCCGAAGGCTGGCTTTTTAGTCCTACAAATAACCATCGCCCAGTGCCTCTCTAATGCATAGCACAGTATTGCACAGTTAGACTGGATGTGTAATAGCCATGCCTGAGCCAGGGGAAAACATTTCACAAAAAACCAACACCACTTGCATTCAAAAACACACACTGCGGCTCCATTCAGAGGCTGAATTTCCCTACCCACACAGATAACAACAGACGTTCAAGCAAAACAATCGGATAATTAGTTGGGATGAGGTTACATACTTCAGACTTAATTCACTCATCTCACAGCTTTAGTTCTTCTTAACGTATATACTGGATTAATAAGACCAGGTCAGGTAACTGCTCCTCTTCCTGACAAATCCACCACAGAGTAGGAAGTAAAGGATGGTCAGACCACCTGCTGAGCCTGATGACTTGGTTTGTGGTCTGGCTTTTGGAGGGAGCCCTCATTCCGTCTCCATCTCCCTCCGATCAAAATCTATTTATCAGTGCTAAACCTAACAGGTAGTCCACCATCGCCTGTTTTTCCAGCACCACCAGAATTTTTCCATGAGGTCCACTAATCCTTTACACAAACTCAAATGACTGAACATATAAGAAAGCATCCAAGAAATAATAATTGGCAGAAAGATTAAGAAAAACATAATTTCACATTTTTATGCAACGTTTGTGACTTTTACCTACTCTTTAAATCATCCTACTCATTCAGGTTAGGAGCTCAAAATTTTACAACACTTACTATCAGGATTATCTAGCAAGTTGTTTGGAAGTTTTTAAAGGTGGTAAACAACACAGCAGAGCATGACTCCATCCAGAGGCACAGGAAATACGTTACTTACTGGAGCTGGGCAAAGAAAGGCAAAGAGGGAACAAGTGCATTGTGGCACTCCACAACGAAAGCCACGATATTCCAGTTGAAATCATCACTTATATTTCAAGACAATCTTGCTATGGTTCCTCTTACGCAGCCTACGAATTCTCAGCAAAACAATTTACAGATTGAATTAATGCTTCGTGCAAAGGATTCCCACAATGTAAAGGGTTTTTTTGCTGCCTTCTGAAAAGAATGTATCTTTAAGAGAAGTATAGCAGTGTACAGACAACAGGTTGTAAATGCAAGGACTATCAGAGATGCTTGATATTTTGCACCTAAATATTTCCTGTCTTTAAAAAAGAAGAATTAAAATGGCACTTAGAAAGATGGGAATTTCTTCTCTTTGGAGGAATAATTAAGTCACAGAAATCTAAGAGTTTAACCAACAATTTGTAATCCAGTGTACTAATCCCCACAGCATGTGTCCATCTGCTATCTCTTGATCTTTCCTCAGACTGCTAATGCCTCACATCTGAGACTGTTCCATTTGTACCGCACCTGGGGCTCTTCTGGGCCCACTGTTGCTCTTGCACACTCCAGTAACACCAATCATAAGCATGTGACATAGCCATGACGCTAACACTAATAATCTGGGAATTAGTTGTGTTGGCAAGATATACGCCAGGGATGATAAGAGAACTCCAAGTGCCAATCCCCACAGGATACAGCGTCTGCTGCCTCCTCCCAGAGTTCCATGTTCACCCCAGGCAGGATCATGACTTTACCAGTCACCAGCAGGATCCTAAAGTCTCTGAGCACGGGATGGAGGAATCCATCGTTATGTCTCCACTGAAGATTTTCAGGTGTGGGTGTGCATCCTTACTCTGACCCATATCTGGGCACATCGCCACCCTCTCTCTACCTCCTTATACCTTGGACAAGGAGGTGGACCATTACTTCAAGTATTCAGCTGAGCGTCCCCACCTCAGTGAAGCCCACCCAACCACATGGACCCCACAGGACAAGGGGAAGAGAGGAGACCCATCCTATGCCCCCGTGGCTCCTGCGGGCTCGTGGGGGCAGATGATCCCACTCTCGGTCAAAGAGTGTGGAACCCTCTGTGAAACATCCAGCACTCCCCACAGACTGCACAGCCAGAGTACCACACTGGGGTCCTGGATGACCCTCTAGAGTTATTCTCAAGGGCAACTAGCAGGTAGTTATTATATGTTAACAAAATGTTGATAATGGCAAATATTTAATAATAAACAATGCAGAAAACCCCCATGAAATAAATTACAAAGCTCACGGACAACCCAAGATCCATTGTGGATGTTCTAAATTTGTGTACCACAGCTAGAAAGAGTCACTTCCACTATCTTAGGTTCTCCTTGTACTATAACAAATTTGAGTTAAAAACTACGACAGCATCACTTGTGAACAAGGCTGTATAACTGAAATAAGAAGCAGAATATATGAATATATGAATATATTACAAGCAGCTTCCTAAGCCCTAAAAATGAAGGCAGAAGGAGGAAAGAGGAGGAGTACAGCAGTTGTGACTTCTGCATGCAGAAGGAACATCTGGAAAACCAGGCTGGAGGAATTAGAAAATGAAACAGCTCTAGATAATACTGATAGGAAATGCAGGTCAAATTGCAGGGATATGATTAAGGACAGCAGAATGTTCCTGTAACAATTAAGGGATGTGCAAACAAAAAAAGCTTTGGCTAAGGAGTGCACCATCCTGGGAAAAAAAAGATAGTTTATTCTGGAGCTTTTCAGCCTCAACCACAACATGGCTGTAGCACGGAAAAGCACATCAGGTGCAAGTCCACGTCACGCTCACAAGCAACTGGAAACCATCTCCAGCCGTCAAGCAAACAAAGGACGTGGGACTGCCGTGGAATAAGACGAAGAGTGAAGCACTGTGGATTTTATTCCCAGCTCTGCCACAGATTTCCTGCACAACTTTAGGCCAAGAGGTTAGTCCCTCTGTTGCCGTTTCCCCTTTCAACTCTTATCTAAACACGAAAAGGAACAAGAAGTTTGTGGCAGCTCTCTAACAAAACAGATTGCTTTCAGATAAACAAAACAAAGCAAAACAAAAACCCTCTATGCCTTATCCCAGCCTCTTCCACCTTAAACTTATCTCAAACATCTCCCAAGACAGGGGCACAGTGCAGTTTCACAGTACGGCCACAACCTGCTCACATCCAGCTCCAGCCTTTCCACCAAGCCCAAGGCAGCAGGTTCATTGCTACCTAGCAAGGGCAAACCCCTTTCCCTGCCTCTCCCAGGGCTGGGGGCGCACTGTAAGGGCACAGCAGGCTTTCCTGAGCCTCTGCCTCTTCCCTTTGTGGTTGCCCCCTCTAACCTTCACGGTCATCAGCAGTCCCCATGTAAGCTGTACAAACACTGCACAACGAAAATAATGACCTAACCATGACCTGATCCCAACCATGATTTCTAAACCAGTTAACGTTTTTTCTATGCCAAACGCACTGAGGAGCTAAACTTCAAGGGGAAAAATGTCCACAACTTTCATGTAAGGTTGTGGTGACTGGATAAAACTAAAGAGACTGCTTTCTTCTCAGTGCCTATTTGTTCTGGGCACTGGGTTCCTTTCAAGGGCTATCACACAGGCCTCACCACATTTTTCAGTTTCTCATCTGCAACAACATACGAGAGCAGAAACAAGAGATACACTTTATCAGTTAACGTAGTGGCACTGCTGTAGATGCAATGGGCCAGGGATATCAGCAAGACAAGGCTTGCAGGGAGGCAATATCCTCTTTTAGCATATCCAGCACTGCTGGAAAAATGAACATGTTTTCAGACACACAAGTCTCCTGCAGGTCTGAAAGAAAATCAGAAGCAAAAACGTCTCTTTTACACAAGTGCAGAAGTCCTACCCAGAAGCCTGCCTGGTCTTCTTTATAATATTAGTTGGTCTAATTGAAGGGTATTGCCTTTCCAACTCTGACTATTTGTTAAAACCACTATAACTCTTGACATATGCTATGATGGAGATGAATTTAAATTATATTTTCTTTGTCCTGCTATTTCATGCCCCAAAGACACAAACAAAGTGTCAAACTCACATGTTAATCACACAGAAAAAACTTTCATTTACTCTGATGTATAAAATCTCCCAGATTTTTTAAAGGAGAGATGCTATCATATGGTTACTTGTTTCGTTCCACTTCACTAAACAGACACTCTCCCTTATGCTAGATGGAAAGTTTAGCAATGGCAAATGTCAATTTTAAATGATTTGATCTGAAAGCTACATCAGATCCCGTTTCAGCTAGGCTGCAGGGGAAAAGAAGACGCCCCTTACTTTGCAAATGAAACCATCCACGCCAACACCCGTGATAGCATCTTCCTCAAAGACACAGACCAAAAAAGACCAAAGATATGATTGTCCCCTGCAAACATCACGGACTCTCGGCATACATGAATGCCACAAATCCTTGCTGATAAGGAACACTGACCAGCTCCTCTGCCCCAGCTTCGTCTTGGAGACTGAAAAATAACTGTCACCATGCATGTATTAAAGGATCTAGACTAATTAGGCTTCCCTGCAGAACTAGGTGTTTGTTTCTAATCCATTTAACAAAGTCAGTGCTATCTGCTGACCAACAGACTCCAACACTGTGTGCTTCCCAAGCAGAAAGGCAGAGCTCGTGTGCTTGTGCTTGCTCTGAAGTTTTGGATCCTCAGAGACTGTATGTTACTAACTAGAAAACCAGGGGAATGGATTAGTGGGGGCTTTGACATTTACTGAGCTGCATGACGGCAATCACTGTCTTCACGCAGCCTTCCCCCCGCAGACCCTTCATCCTGAATGGGAAGGGGGCAGAGGAAGGGCATGGTGGAGGGCAGAAGGCAGGAGCTCATCAGCCCAGCACTCAAAGGTGCAGCCAAACCCATTCCATCTGCAGGCACCATAAAGAAGAAACAGGTATCCCTGAACACAAAGAGCAAGTGTGGAGCCAGCCAGCAGATTCCCACCCATGGCAAAACCAAGAGAGGAAGTGGAAGGAGGCTGGAACAAAGGTTGCCTTTATCATCTGTGGAGGCATGAGTGTA